TTTTTTTTTTTTTTTTTAATGTCTTAAATGAATATTATTCTCTCTGATGGTGCAGTGGTTAAGCATTTGGCAGCTAACCAAGAGGCTGGCAGTTCAAATCCACCAGCTGCTTCTTGGAAACCCTATGAGGCAGTTCTACTCTGTCCTATAGGGTCACTATGAGTCCGAAACGATTTGATGGCAATGGGTTTGATTTTGTGGTAAAATAGTCACCTCAGAAACCATATGCTTATTTCAGAGATGTTGGGATCATTTACCATTTTTGGTACTACTGTTTAGAAACTGTCTTCAGAGCCAGTTCATGCAAGTATATCATTCCATTACGGGTTTGGGTCTGTGTTTGAGTTTTTTTGGTTACGGTATTTCTGTTATTAGCACTACGTAACTAAGACATCAGACAAGCAGGTGATATCTAGAAATCTTCATTTGTAAGTTCATGAAAAAATTCTGAATTTGGTATATGAAAGGCTATTTTGGTGTGTCACTGTACACTGTATGAAAGCACAGGCTGTACCACCCAAGTCCAATATAGAAAAGTAGTATGCTATCTATAGGCTTCTCCTTCACTTATGCCCTTTTACCCAGTTTCCACATTACTAGCAGAGTGATCGTCTAAGTGCAAGGCAGTTCATGGACTTCTCTGCTTAAAATTCTTCAACTGCTTCCTCTACATATGAGATATAATCCAATCTTGGCATGGACTACAGGGACTCACATTACCTGGCGTGGGTAACCATTTCTAGCTGTATTTCACAAGTCTATAATTCCTCAAATGTATAATGTTATTTCATTTGTTTCTTCACACATATGGTTTACTCTGTCAGGATGTATCTACCTGATGGATTTCCATTTATCTTTTAAAACTTTGCTACAGTGTCAGATCCTATGGAAAACTTTATGATTTCCTTGGGAAAATTCAGGTACTCCCCATCTATTATGCTTTAACAGTATCCTATACGTACTTCTGTTATAGTACTCTTCACATAATATTTTAAATATTTCATTTACTTCCCATCAGAGTATAAGCACATGGAAGTTAGGATTTTATTATATTCATCTTGGTATCTTCAGGGTCTATCATAATGCTAGTACCTGGTTCATGTTCATTAAATGCTAACAGAATGAATACTTTAAATTCCCTCTATAGGATTTATATCAGAATCTTTCAACTTTAGTATTTCTATTAACAGACTACAGATAGCCTACCAAAAAAATTAAACACAGCTAAAGCCTTCCTAAGACATATTTTGTTTTAATAATAATATAATTGACACAGAAGTCACATGGGTTTTTAATATTTACTACCATAAAGTATGTATCCAATCATATGAGGGACAAGGCAACGCAGAAAATAAATTCCGGAAGCTTCTTTATTATACACAGTATCTTATGTAGTGTGTGTATTTAGAGCAAATACTAAACTACCCCATGGTATGGTATTAGTTAATCAACAACAGCTATTAATCCAAAGGTGATTTAAAAACAAAACAAAAATAAAAAAACTTTCATTACCTGGCTAACGTCTGTAGGTAGAGACAAGGCATTTTAACAGGAAGGTCTTCGGAGATGCCCTCTTTCACACTGGGAAGCTGAGACGGGAATGGCTTCGTGGGGTGGTAACACAGAATGCTTGGCTCTGCTGCACTACTGAGGGAGAGCAGGAAGAGCGCGTTTGCTTTAATCACCTGGTGAGCTTCCATAGTGGGCAAGGCGCGAGGAGTCTTGACTTGCATTGGCTTTCTCCTAGATTGTTTGACCTGGAAAAAGAAAACTGAAAATCTGTAGTAATCTTTTCCAACTTATATTTAAAATTTTAATTTCTTAAACTAAGTATTTTGGGTTTCAAATAAAAATTATTTAACATTTGTAGAACTATTTTAAAATAATGACAGTGATGACCAAAAACAACATTCACTTCTTGCTTCTCCTGAACTGACTGAAAGGATTTTATATTGAACACAAACTGTATTTCTTTTTTTAACCCCTGGAAAAAGGAAAAATGTACATAGTAAAGCCTATCTTTTAAAAAGGTAAACGATCTGTGTATGTATGTGTGTGTCGTCAGCAAATCTTTTTTGTTGGGAGTGTCGCTAGTATGAATGATGTGGAGTTGCCAAAGTCCTACAAAATAGTTAGGAATTAAGAAAATAAAGAGGAGGGAAAAAGGTGCCTCAAAAAAAAGAAGAAGTTATGAGAGAGAAAAGTGAAGACGGGAAGATATGTATACGTGCAGATAACAGATGATCAACAATAAAGAATTATACAATAAATATTTGTCACTAAGACATATGCGCCACAGGTTAGTTGTCTTATATTATCCCAAGATACAATTTACTTTTATAATAGAAACAGCTGACCTAGTACAAATATTAAATTTGTATTTTATTTGTTATGAAAGCTTATCTTTAATATCAGTTATGTAGAGCTCCTCTGATGTAATGACATGATTACATACAGATTTTTATAAGGTTTATTCATATCATTAATAGTACAGCCCAGAACAGAATATAAATACCTTCTCCCTTGCCGCAGCCTGCTTTTCACGGAGGTATTTTTCTCTACAGCGATCACATACCAGATACCAAGTGCTTCCTCCTATGCCACCGTCACCACAGTTGCCAGCCCATCCTCCACAAAAATGTCCAATGCTATTGTAACCTTGTCCACCGGCATACCGGCCACAACCTGGAACAAGGACAAAAATAAACATTCAATGCTTTAAGTGTCCTTAACAGGGTAATCTTACTATTTATACATTAATGACAGATTTATCTTCTGAAAGTCAACAAAATATAGAAGCATGTATCTTGATGGTTTTTTTTCCCCAGAAAAATAGCACACTTGACCAAAAAGCATTCAATTAAATGTCCAAAATATTAGTGATACTCTATTTCTATACAGCAGATTAAAAGAAATATAGAATGTAGGCACATTTAGATTTACTTAAGTATGCTAGTAAAATTGGAAAAAAAGAATAGGTGTAAAAATATTCTGTAAGAAGCACATAATTTAAGGAATCACATATTTTACAGAAGGTTTCAGGTGTAATATGTAGAATGTCAAAATATTTTTACAAAACTCACGAGGTAAATTTTAGAATGCTAATCAGTACTAATTAATGCTATAGAAATCCTTATATTTATTGAAAATGTAGTCTTTTGATGAAACAAAATAGTTCATATCATTTTCACTGGAAAATACCCACAGAAATCAATAGCATCTGATTTGATTTGCAACTTTAAACAGGAAAACACTAAATCAAAGGAGACCTAATATTGGTATCTGTCCTGTGAATATATGCATATCATTATTTCTATTGCATGAGGCACCTTAATAGTATCCTTTGGGTAATACACAAAATATTTTTTTAAAAAAATTTCAAAATTTGATACATTAAAATGAAATAGCAATAAATTGCCTGACTAATCATACTATTAAAACTACCTATTTTTCACAAAACCTATATTGATAATGTACTTAAAAAATTACATTATAAGGTACTATATATTCTGGGCATGTCATCAGGAAGGACCAGTCCTTGGAGAACAATATCATGCTTGGTAAAGTAGCAGGTCAGTGAAAAAGAGGAAGACCCTCAAGGAGGTGACTGACACAGTGGCTATAACGATGGGCTCAAGCATAAAAACGACTGTGAGGATGGTGCAGGACTGGGCAGTGTTTCCTTCTGTTGTACATATGGGTTGGAACTGGCTCGATGGCACCTAACAACAACAACATACATTCTGGAGAACAGTTTCCCTATACTTTAACATAATTTATAGAACAGCTCAAGTTAAAAGTGACCAAATTAATTTTTTTTAAAAAAGGAGTTTTTATATATTTTCAAAAATATAGTTTACCTGGGTGTGCTTGTCTCATGTGATAGGTCACTGGGTATGGATGGGATTCTCCACACAGCTCACAGACGGTGTCCTTCTCTGGTCCTCCAACTGCGAGCTGGGCCATCTCACCGAACAAATTACCCCTGGGCCTAACTTCTGCCTTTTCTTTTTTCTTTTTTTCCTTTTTGGCCTTTTTATTCTCTTTCTCACATTCTTTCTTTTTAAGGACTGCACAGGAACCAGGACTTGGAAAAATCATATTCTGGGAAGCTGCTTTGATAGTAGCCAAAGAGATGTCTTCCCAAAAAGCCACTAAATGTTGTAGAGTTAAGGGAAGAGGCGATTTAGATTTCATTGTGTGATGCATGGACATTTCAAAAGTGGTTTCAGCTTTCCCATCCTCACACTTTTCATGCAGAGGTGGTTCCTTCAGCATAGACAACACCTTATTTTTGTTGATGCTACCCATTTTAGATATATCTGGTCCATGAGGTGCAATATTAAACATATTAAGAGCAGATGATATTTCCAGTGAGTGTCTATTTTTTAACTTGGTTTCCTTTTCCTCTGTAGGCTGTTGGCTATTTAAACTACTCCTTATAGGAGCATGTTCTTTGGAAAGTTCAGGATTAAATTTTAGGAAAGAAGAACATGCCATTGCATCATGTACTATCCCTTCATGCCAAAGGAAAGAGGCAAAGACTGCTCGGGCACACTCAGCCACAGAGGGGGACATGGCTTGCTTGGCTGGTTCTAAAGGTTTAGATCCATCTCCTTTGAAAAGAAAGCTGGATTTTTCCTTTTTGAGCCTGGTATGCCTATTAGCACACTTTCGGCTTATTTTGGGGGAAGCTCTCATTTCCTGTTCATCTTTCAGTGGCGCTTTTCCTATGCTGAAATGAACTTTATTTGAACCTTCATCCACACTCTTAAATTCACTGCTTTCATCACAGGTACTATCTGTTAGACTATTTGTTTTTAAAGTACTCGAAGTGCAGACTTCAACCACCTCACTGTGAAGGTTTTCTTGTACCACATGGGGAGAAGGAGCTCTATTTTCGGATCCAGGGGAACCTTTAGAATCCTTTGGTACTGATTTTGGTTTTGGTGATGTTGATCGTCCCCTCAGTGGTTCTGTCAGGGGCATTTTCTTCTTGCGGAGGGTATCTGGATCGAGTGTGTAAGAGTCTGATTTGGAACGTTCCCGAGGAGGATCAAGTTTAGTCTTAACAGGAGCAGCGCTTTTCTGAGGTAGATTTTTATCATGTGGTGAGGAGGAGCGTGGAGAACCAGCACCAGGTGGGCTAGACCTACTAGCTGGGAGAGTCTTTGGCTTAGGAGATGATGACCGAGAACCTGGTCCTGGGGATTCAGCTCTGAGGCTAGAAGACATCCTCCCCTCAGATTTTAGTGTCTGCAAGGTGTTATGGTTGGGGGACAATGACCTACTATGAGAATCTGACCTCAACTTTGCGGCATCAGACTTTAACATGAGGGATTCACTAGCAGATAAACCTTCTGTACCCCGTGGCTTCTTCTGATCAGTAGCAGTCCGGCTCATACGTCCATCAGGTTTAAGTGATCTGCTGTGTTTAGAGGACAGCTCCGATTTCCCTGATGTAGAGACCGGTCTAGAAGATGTTGAGACATTTCCTCGGTCACCTGTATGGTTCATTTCATAGTGAAACATGTTAATAAAATTATATTTTATGGATAATTTAGCAATTAAATACTGAAAAAACAAAGCTAAAAATTTATATTGTTTGTCACAGACAAAAATACTTGAATAAAGGAAAAAAAGGCAAATATTTCTCATAAAATTTCTACTACATCACTATACAACCATTACCACCAAAACTATTTTCAGGGATGCAGAAACAGACTGAACAAATAGGACATACACACCAGTATAAATTTTCAGTGAAATCTGAGCCTCAGCCCTTGTACAATAATCAGAGTTTACAAATTCAGTCAGTGACTACAGAGAAAAAAAATATAAGTAACTTCATTTGGGAAGCAGAAATTATGAAAGAATATATTTTATGCTATTAAGTAGAAGAGCTAAATTTCCAGTATAGTGAAATGCCTCACATATTTAGGGTAATAATGCAGGTTTGTTGAATTACAAAACTGAATTTAAACATATGTAAATTTATCATTTTCAAGTATTATACAAATAAATGCAATTAGGTTAATAAAGAGCTGCTTAGGAGACAATCTTTTTTAACGATTAGATTAGAATAATTTATAATTAGCAAACGAATGCCTTAAAGCTATTGATTAACTACGTGTAATTTGGGTATTCTATTATTTATAAACAGGTTGTATTCCAAGAGTTCATTTAGTTCATTAAGTAGATGTTTGGAACTCAGAACTTGTGTCTCCTTGGAAACAAAAAAAATAACAGGATCCTAAGGATTAGTAGTACTAGTCTGAAATATAGTCCCTTAGAACAAGGAGTTCTGAGAAAGAAAGAGGATAAAAACAAGAACAATCTCCCCCTTTCCTAAGCAAAGCACCAGATATTTCTAAGTGGGTAATCATTTGTTCTGGGCTTTGTAGCCCTCATTCGGTGTCACCCCTTCCTACTCTCTTATGCCTTTCATTGATGCATCAGAGCCAGGCCATCTTTGTCCTCCACTGTGTTACAACCTTCAACAATATCTTTCCTTCTGTCTTTTTGCTTGTGTGTGTGAATGTGTGTGTGTGTGTGCATGTGTGTGTGTGTGTGCGTGCGCATGTGCACACGTATGCGTACAGGTATTCCCCACTTTTTGAAAGTTTGCTTTATGCCACTTTGCTTTTACGAAAAACCAATGTTAGTACTTGTTTTCACTAACTAAAATAGATTCGAAGTGGATTTTCCCTGCTTTTACAAAAAAGCGGAAATAGTGTTCAGTGTTTGTTTTGCAGCAAGCCTTTAAAGAGGCAGCGCGCACGCCGAGCAGTGAGAGTGGCATCGCCAAGCTCCTTCCTGGGACCTACACTCAGCATCTCAGCATCAAGCCGCCGTAGCTTTGAACTGTGTCTGTGAGTATCTGTGCTTTATCTCAATTTATTTTGTGCATCCGTTAGCAAGATGTGTCCTAAGGTATCAGAAAAGCTTAACAGAGCTCTTAAGCATTTTATGTGTTATTTGGTATGATTTATAGGTCATTTTTTGGGTCTGGGAATGTGTAAAGATTTTTCCCATATAAATTAATGGTAATTGTTTCTTTGCTTTACAACGTTTTGGCTTTCAAAAGGTTTCACAGAACATTCAACTTTCGGATAGCGGGAAAAACCTGTATCTGTAGTCACACTCTAGATATCTGGTTAGGACGGTACTGCCTCAGAACCTACCCTCCTAATTTAAGGTTGATGAGGGTAGTAGTTATTTTGTCTGTTACTGTTCACTGACGGAATATCAAGAGTAACCCCTCCGAGAAACCAAACCCACTGCCGTTTAGTCAATTCCAACTCAGAGAGACCCTACAGAACAGAGTAGAACTGCCCTATATGGTTTCCAAGGCTGTAATTTTTACAGAAACAGACTGCCACATCTTTCTCCTGTGGAGCGGTTGGTGGGTTTGAACTGCCGACATTTTGGTTAGCAGCCAAGTGCTTAACCAGTGCACAACCAGGGCTCCTTCCATGTCAATAATAAGTCCTGATATACCATAGGTGCTTAATAAATTCTGTTGAATGAGTACATAAATTTCTACTCTCTTTAATTTTTTTTCTTCTGCTATTTCCAAATATGCATTTTCCCAGTTATGACTCCAAAGGCCACAGAGGAGAAGCAACAATAGCTGTTGTTATATAAGAGTTAGTTAGATTTTTGCAAGTTGAGAAATACTGTAGTAAAATAACAGAGTATGGCACATAGCCTATTTAGGGCATAGACATGAACTGAATGTTTATTTTAATTGCAACATGCCAGTGTTTAGAACAATAAATCTCATTTTTGGGTGAATAAAAGTAACTATACTGAATATAATGCTCTTCGGTTTCTTGCACTGCTTTATTATTCTATCATGAATATCACTTGTCATATATGGGCTCTGTTTATATGTAATATAAGGGACTGGGCAAAATTTGAAAAAAAATGGTGAAAAAAATCAGAATGCAGAAAAAAATTCTAGTTTTTGATGTTGTTTTGGTGGAGTACAGACAAATAAACAGAAGTTACAATATTGATAAATAAATGCTCTTAGACTGCTCAAGTGCAGTTAGAGAAACTGCTGCCCACGTTATTTTATTAATCTAGTAACAACAGAGCAAATTTTGTCAAAAAATAAACTATATTTGAAAGAATTAAACTCACCCTAGTCCTTGCCTTATCACTAATTTTGAGCGTGTGATGTCTGGTGTATTGTTTTTTAGTTATTAGTCTGATAGCTGGAAATGTTTTTATTGCCTTCACTCTCACATTTATTTCAAAAGTTGAACCACATATAATGGTGAATTTAGACACATAAGTAGTAAATCTTTTATATCTGGCATCCCTATCTCCAAAAGGTCCTCAACTTGTAGACTGAAAGAGGTTTGCTCTTTAATTTATAAAAAAGGACAACTTGTTTTAGGATTCCTAACATAATGGGAAGGGTTCCTGACAAAGATTGCCGACTTGTCTCAGATGTTTCCTAATGTCTGACTCGCACACTTGTTGCATGCAAAGGGACTGTGAACATATGCTGATGTCACATCTAATCCTAGTAGGGTACACACTTGCAATGGTCTTTAACCTTTCCTCATAATGGAAATAGCTTCTGTGGTTGGCTGAACAACAGAATCTGTCAAATCTGAGGACTACCACTAGTCATATGCTACAAAAAAATGTTGAGAGAGGGTTAGAATGCATAGGCATTGTATACCTATCTCTATACCTCTAGTAGTGGAGAATATTTTCTTAAGATCTATAAGTAGTGATAGTCGGAGACCAGGCATTTAAAGAATGGCAGAATTATTTCTTCCTGAGATGTGTTTCTCTAATTATAGTAAAATCCTTTAGAAAAATTCACTTTTCCAAAATACATTTCATATTTTTTAAAAAACAGTATGTTAAGTTTGTTAAGTGAGGTAAGCTCATATATGCTAACTTATTTATGTTTATCATGTTTATTTGGGTTTCAAAAGTTTTGAGGCATGTAGTAAATATAAATATTACTAAAAATAGTCATGTTGTGGTTATATGAAGCATCAATAAACATAAACACTTATTAAACATCTTTAGAACATACATAATATTTTCACATCACTTAATTTAGCTTAATTTATAATATGTAAGTTTAAGTGATCATGGACAAAACATCTTCTAACCTCAAAGGTATCCTGAAGAAATAATAATATACAACAGGGTAGAAATTTAGTACATTCAAATAAGTTAGTAAACATGTTAAATGTTCATTCACTAAATGACCTGCAAGCTTTTTTCATACTAAAATTGTAAATTATCAGGTTATATACATAATACCATGTTATAATATACTATAAGATAAAGATATACTATAATATGCCATAATATACAGTATGTATCAGGCCACACAATACTATACGCTATAGACAATATTATATGCCACACAGACCAGGTTATAAAATAATATTTACTATACTATAGTATTACATAGTATCACTGTCAGTTGTACAAAGAAATGTAAAACTGTTTTTCTACAAAAAAGGAAAATTAGTAACTACTTGAAAAACTTATGTAATATTTTAGCCATTGCTTCAACATTCTTTGTAATAATTTTTTCTTAAAATACAGAATTTAAAAAGTTTAATCAATATTACTTTAACATAAAAATATTTGAATAGGCATCTGTAATATTCTAAAAGACCAAAAGTATATTTTTAAATTATGTGAAATTTTATCAATTGTCAGTGAGTTTAAACATTTCTAAGTTTAAAGTATTAAAAGTCTCTGAGTCACTAAGAAAATAGTCTAAGATTCATGCCATACAGGACAGGTAGTTTACGTATATGTGCCCTGATAACTAAGTTAAACTAAATAACTTTTACTTCCGTATAAAAGTGTTTATCAAAAACTAAAATAATAAAATTATTTTTATATTACATAGCAGAAAAATGAGTTTAAGACTAAACTGTCACATAATATATACCACAGTGTATATTCTTACGGATCACAGGGTGTTTTATGCCTTACATACATATCGTCTCATTTTGATAATAATGATTTAAAAAACTCAAAAGTAGGCATTTTTTCCTTTCTATATACCTATTTTAATTTTTTGTATCTCGTATCGGTATGAAATTAAATCTGAATAATATTTAACCTACAGATGTAATAAGCACGCATACCAAATTAGGATATCTATACTATTATATCAAATAGACACATACTTATAAAGAAATAAAATTATAAATTTTAATTTAAAAACATGGAATGGAATGAAAATGACTGAAGTGAACTAAAACATCTTTACTGAAACCTCTGATGGTAATTAAAAACGACCCAGCCACGAGTGCACGTATACCCACCCTTCAGTTTGTGAGACAGAGATGAGATAGCAGAGGCAGGCCCAGCTACACCATAATTTTTGTAAACGCGCTCACGAGAAGCAAGGTTGCGAGATGGAGATTCTACAGTGGAAAACATTGGCAAAGAAGCAGCACAGATTCAATGGAAAAAAAAATTTGGCAGAGACACAAGCAAAAACAAA